GATCCTCTTTGTGACGGCTAATCTGATGAAGCAGAATGTGAAATGCAAAGTTTGTGCCTTTTTTGTAATAGAATCTGTCAATAAAATAGTGTTAATCCTAATATTCTGCTGTGTGCTGGAACTTTGATTTTGTTTGTTTGACTGCGTTGATTGAATTTGAAGTCCAATAAACTGAAGACAAACCAGTAGTAGTATAGTGATAGGTGCTGGTAGATAGACACATTGAGTGACCCATTTCTCAAGGATAGCCTGGGTGCTTGTATAAGTGGTAGCCATGTTGGACAGTTTTTGGTGTTGTTGTTTCATGGTGGTGCTGGTTTTATTTATTTGTTTGTTTGTTTAGTTGGTTGGATGGTTTACTTTGGTTGGGTTTTTTTTGTGAGAGAAGGAAGTCATAGCTAAAGTAAGACACATGCAAAAAAAAACCACACTAAAAGTCATCATCAGGCAACTTTTTACAACCTTAAGGTTTGTGGGGAGTTCATGACAGGAGCATGCTGGGAATTATGCTAATTAGCAACAATGTTTGCTGTACTAATAAAAAAATTATGTAAACAGTGGCTCAAGTGATTGTAATGTGAATGGGTTTGACACTGAGAATAATCATACCTATAATTAAAATAATAATAGAATAGTAATAACTGCTCAATGGCTAACAGCAGACAGACATAGTGACTAACTGGTGAACACAGTAAAGCATTTAGCAACTAAGGAGACAGAAATTTCTCTCAGGAGTTGTTAGAGACCAAAAGTAGAGCAAAAAAAGAGTGAATATTGGACTAACATTCATCAGGTGAACACAAACAACACAAATGAATTATAGATGTGTAAGTAGGCAGGCTGCTCACAGGTTAGTCACATCAGCTTTATAAGGTGATAATATGCCAGTGTTGGTGTTATCATTTGTTCTACTGAAACCAAATGGCTGATAAATAATGCAGCTTTTACAAACTTAATTTGATGAGTAAAGAAGTTCGTTTACATGTTCTGAAATTGTTCTGAATAATAACCAAATTTCATTGAATCTATTCTGATTAAATAAACAAGTTTAAAGTTTAAGATGCATGTAGACTTTTGCTGGTGTGTTCAGTGATGGGAGAGCAGTGAGCGTAACAGGAGGGGTTGTGAGGAGGGAGGAGAACAAGAGGGCTGACAGAAAATAAGAGAGCAGGGAGGAGCAAAGAGGGGACAGATTATCTGGAGAAGGAGGAGAGGGTGATGTGAGGGAATCTCTCTGTGCTCTGAGGGCCTGTTGATATCAGGAGCCACTACTATTACTGCAGTCTGCGTGGAGGAACACCATTTACCTATTGTGCAGCTTCTACCTGAGACATGGCAGGGTTGTCAGCCATCATTTTACTGCTTCACCTGTCAGTTCTGGTGAGTTCACAACTATGTCTATGTCTGTCTATGTGTGTGTCTGTGTGTATGAAGAGAGGGAGCCATAGAAATGCAATGATGAAAAAAGGTTTATAAACTAAAAACAAGTAAAAAAGCATGAAAGGGAGATGACTTGGTAAGGTTTGATTTAAATCGTGTCGTTCTTGTATGTGAAATTAAACAGGTTTCAAGATAAACTGCCAAGATTTCACCTTCACAACTGTACGTGAAAGTTCTACAGGGAATAATTCCCACTCATACTGGTATCAGGTCACCATAGGTCCTGTCATTCCCAGTCTCTCCTTGAATGATCCCTATTGTATCTGTTCCCACGCACACATCATATGTTTTTCTCATCAAACCCACTTTCAATAACAAAAGACTATCTGGTCCAACTTGATCTTGATGTAGGCCTAGTCAGCTTGAATATCTTGATTGATATTCTTTGTTGTATTATGTAATTGCGCAGAGAGCTGCCTGTTACATGACTTGTTTTCTTAATATAGGTCAGTAGACACACCCACACTATGTCCCCTCTGGAATACTATAAGGACAGAAACAAGGATGTAGCTCTTTATATCGCGCATGTGATGAGCTGGCCAGGTGCATATACACTGTATCCTAAAATATACGATATGTTATCATTTTGGGATTCCTGATTTAATCAGGAGAAAAGATACAGAAACAGAGAATATAGAGGAGAAAATAAATCAATATAACCCTGTTAATTATATACATGAGAATTACCTACCACTCCGAATAAGCTCAATACATTCATTATGTTAACTAGCGTACAAATTGCACTCTGACTGGAACTCACTGCAATCTGAATGTCTATATGGACAGTTAATACTACAGGAAACTCAAAATCCATATTTTCCAACAGGTGTTTAAAGAAAGACCATACACAGCCATGATTGAGTCCACCCCAAAGATTATTCATACTGATTTCAGCTGGGTGTGGCCTCATACAGACTGTGACTGATTATCTGATGTCCCTCAGTCTCATGTTAAATGTGTTACACCTGTTCGGGCAGGAGGACTTATGTCTTTATCTTTCTTATTATGAAAATACTTTAACATTACTTTTTAACACTACGGTCCCCTGTGAAAACATTGATATTTTATTTAGATTTTAAAGATTCTGATTATTTGTCATGCACACAGTTTCGGCAGTGAAATGTTTGGTCGCCAGCTCCACAGAGTACATAGTACAGGCATAATGAAATACAGAGGAAGCAAATATGGAGAGATATTTTATAGGAAAAATAAAATAAAAACAAACATCATAAGCAAATGTAGTAAAAAAAAGTATTGAAAGGGTGGATGTAGAGCATCGGATAACAAATGTAAAAACAAATGATTATCCACAGCTTCATCCAGACCCTAACTGTAATCACAGCCATACTGACTCTTTACCTAACTTTAGTGCTTTGTCTGAGAGTCAAAGTAGGGGTTATGCGGTTGCCCCGGCCCTGAGTCCTGCCAAAAGGTGAAAGATGGGGAAATGTATAGACATCATCTACAATGTTGTGTCTGTACATGCAGGAGCTGAGACTGTCTTGACATATAACTTTCGAGAACTCTGCACATTTTAGCAGTGATCACATTTTCTGTTTGCAAATTGTTCCCTCAGGGCAGCAGTGAGTGAGCTATAGATGCTGTAAATCATCTTGAAAGCTTTCAAGCATGCAAACATTGAACTAGGCTCTCATTCATGACTAAGGATTGTGACATACCTGAAGTGTGATATTTTTTGTCAGTGTAAAGGTGTCGTGGGTGCACTAAAATTACATTAAACAGTTTACTGAGAATTTGCATTTGCGCTTCACTATACTCTATAAGTCTACACTTACTCAGACAACACAGTAAAGGCCAAAACACACCAACGGCGTCATATGACGGTGAGTCAAGTGCCACCCCCAACACACATCAACCGGATTTCTATTGCACACTCCAGTCAAGTACAAAATAGCGCTTTTTCAAGGGCGGTGATGCTGGAAAAATAGGACAACAGTGTACAAGCGTCGAGACGCCGCCGGTGTGGGTTTGTAAATAGAAAATAATGGGGGCGGCTGTTTTGACGCGCGTCGTACGCCACCGGTGTGTTTTGGCCTTACCAGATCTCCAACAGGATGAAAGGATAGCTCTAAATCTAATGATTGAACCCTCATCATTCTCAGCTTTACTGTACTTTACTGCTTTAACTAAACGCTAAATGCTTCATGTTAACATCACATGTTCATGTTAACATCACATGTTAACATGAAGCATTTAGCTTTTAGTTGGCATGTTAACATGATACATGTTAGCATGTAAACCGAATCTGTGGGGTATGTTTTCAAGGATTCTTTTGTGAGAGTTTGTTTCCTGGTGAACAGTAGATTGTAAAATTGTTATACTGTTATACTGTAGCTTGCCATTGAAGTCTGACACATTAAACTACAATGAATAATGTGATCAGATAGCGTATTGATTAGGGGTGGGAATCTCACAATTCGATTAAATTCCGATTCCGAGGGCAACGATTTCAATTATAAAATGATTCTCGATTCTAAAACGAGCCAATAAGAAAAGTTACACTTGATATTGAAAAACATTATTGTAATAAAGCTGGGAATACATATCCAGTGCATACAATCTGTATTACTTACTGTGGTTGAGATGACTAAACTAAACCAGTCTCCTCCGGTCCATCCTCCTCATCCACAAATCTAAAGGGGACTCTCCTGTCCCTCGTCGACCTCCTCGACATTTCTCCTCCAGTATTTACAAAACTATAACTGGCTATAAATATCTATGAACTATAAAAACACGTACTATTGCAAAAAAGAGGAACGATGGCAAAACTACGAATTATGGTGAAAACAAGATGAAAACACGGCATAAAAAACTCAAAAGCTCTCAAAAAACCACAAATACTATTATTTACAACACTAAATATTATTTACAAAGAAAACGCCACCCAAACTCCACTAAAACTCACCAAAACTCCGCTAATTAACTCCAACTCGCACTCTCCTCGTAAGCCGTCACTCTCCTCCTACTGTGCTCACTTCCCTCCCCGCCTCCACAGGTAATGGCGTCACTACCGTAATGGTACGTCAATGGAAAGCTCCGCTTCTTAGCTTTCGGAATCTGTTGGAATTACGTCGATAGCGTGAATGGTCGAGGAGTTACGGTAATTTCAAAAATAAAAATAAAAATAAAATCGATTATGAGTTTTCCAAATCGATGCGCGCATCGTTCAAGACAGAATCTCGATGCATCTAAAAATCGATTATTTCCCCCACCCCTAGTATTGATGGCTCATAACTTAATTATTGCCTGTTGTTCAAACTTTTTTATTTATTTATTTATTTTTTTTATTAATTGTATCATGGCTGACAAACAGGCCTGAAATGAGTCATGTGCTGACAGGGTGTAACACTTTCATACTGGTGAATGAACACTGCAGGATGTATGAGCTGCTGTAGGAGCTTCTGAATTTGAATCTTGTTACAAAGCATTTTGTTCAGTTAAATAACTGATCTGAAAACAGACACAAAAAGTTACAGTTGGAGAAGCAACACCACAGTCACATGTCCTCTTCTCTCTGCAGCTGTGGGGGTGTCTGGGAGACGATGCAGCCAGCGTCCCACATCTCAGACGCCAGAAGAGAGACTGGGTTGTCCCAACGAAGATGCTTAAAGAGAATTATAATTACAATACAAGGGAGCCTATTGCCAGGGTAAGAAGTTCCCTCACATCATATAATCTCTGTGTTCTTACAGTATGTGTCTTCTGACAACAGCAAAGACGTTATTTGAATTTCTCTACCAAAAGGTTTATATTTAATATGCCGGCTTGGTAAATTATGATAGTCTAGTCTATATTGAAGGAAGGGTTGATAGGTTTTCATCCCAGACCTTTATTGGAAGCTGTTTGTCATCATAATATTAATTAATTGGATAACATCATTGATTATTTTAAACTTCTGCAACAGCTTCTCACTGGACTCAAACACAGTTATCTAATGGAGCCTTTTTTAAATAATTATTTTGGCATTTCTTGCCTTTGTTTGCTCCTGTCATTAGAGACAATACAGAAAAGGAGGATTCCAATAAAGGTCTTTAGCTGAAATCAAAACAGTGATGGTGCAGTTCAGGGTGATGTTGAGAAAAGAGAGGTGAAATATGCTGAGATTTCGACTGTGTAGATCTTAAATATGTTGTAAACAAGTCACTATTAATTACAACTATAACTGCATATGTTTATTTGTTGATTAAATTTTATGTAGAGGCTGTATTAAAAGATGTATTGAGGACATGTAGTAAAAGGAGCCCCAGATTGTTGAGCTACACCACTGCTAACAATCCTGTGAGCTTCCTCAGTTATTTGATCAAACCACAGCTCTCAATAAGGCTGTATTATGCACACTTCTTAAAAAAACATTTGAATAAAGTCCCAGGTTAAAAATATTGAACATATCCTCATGCTAAAAGCTGTGGTGTTTATGCATTAGTCTACAATGTTCTCACACTGACTCATTCTAGGAGTTCGCTGATGTAAAATAACACTGACGCCTGCATGACAGGTCTTGCTTGTTATTATTCAGCAGTGCACCTGAGACATATTGAAGAAGGCATATATGATTACTGTCTGAATCATTCAACTTTTCTTCCTTTGTAAATATGCAAATACACACTCACACACAGCCTAGAGACAGAGAAAAGTTGGAAACTGCTCCACCAACATAAAAAGAGATTGCCAGGAGAAATAAAAGTTGTCACGCTTTACTGTGGTGCTCGTGTTAAGGCTAGACTTCACCCTCCTTAGCTTTACGATTGCATTGCAACTTCTGCTTTCGTCAAAAAAAAAAATAGAAAATGTATGATTAGTCTTGCCATCTCTGCCAACACTCGAGATGAGCTGCCCTCCAGCATGAGGCTGAGGCACCCAGCAATTGTACAGCACTCAGCTGTTGTAGAGGGAGACAGAAATCGCAGACATTCTCAAGTTATGACGCAGGGCTGATGTTCGAAATGCTGCTCACAGAATAAGAATGGGAAAGTACCCTAAACAAGTGCAATGCAGAACCCTTTTCCTGCAGCCCAGTAACTCTAGAAAGTAAGTACATATTGGATGACTCGTGATTTATGTTCATTGCCAAGATTCAGACTTAGGTCGACAGAAAACAGGTGTACAAGTTAGGGTTGTTAATAGGTGTACACTGTTTCTGAGTGTAGCTGCCATGTATATGTACTGTAAACAGAAAAACTTTTTTAAACAATGGCATTCAATGTTAGAAATAAGTAATTAAGTCATTACTTGATTATGTGCAATGGACAGCCTTGAATATATTGTGATATTTTTAAATGGTTTAATTGTTGTTATGATTATTATGATCACTCTCAGATCAGGTCAGACTGGGACACAGAGCAGACCCTGCACTACACTCTGCTGGGTCCTGGGGCCAGTAAAGAACCAGTGAACCTGTTTGTTGTGGCTGAGGACACTGGACTTGTGTATGTCCGAGGAACACTGGACCGAGAGGAGAGGGAAACCTACATTGTGAGAACATAACTCAGCACACAGCTTATTACACATCTACTTACTAATGTATGAACTAAAATTCAGTATGTGCTGTTGAATTAAGGTGATTTCATGAAAGCTCTGCACTGCTATCCTCCACAGTGTCTATTTGATTACATAATAATGGCTTTAATTGTCAAAAGATCAAGATCAGCAAGAGAGCTGTTGCTGGTAGAGGTAGATGAATAATTTAAAACCACACTCAGAATGAAACACAAACACACATATAATGACATCCTGATCCGACAGAGCTGATGGTGAGCGATTTCACAATAATCTTCTGCTACATTTTACATTTCTTGTTTGTTTGAAATGAACAGAGGAGCAGTGATAGCCATGAAGAAAACATTGAGTACCACAAAAGAAAAAAAATAGTGATTAATGAGAAGTCAGCTGTAAAGCTCTACAGTAACATGTGCTCAGCACCAGTGGTGGAAAGTATATTTTCTCAAGAACTGTATTAAAATACAGTTTTGCAGTACTTGTAGGATTTACAAGATTTACTTAATTTTAATGGTATAGCCACTTGTTAGTAGTCACTTCAAAGATTAGTGTTTTATGTGACAAAATATATCGTCAGTTTATAAACCATGATGCATTCTTATGAATTACAGTATATGATAAAACATAAACTGCAGCAAATACACTATAATGCATCAGAAATAATTATAATTCTGCTTTTACTTTTGTAAGCTCTGGTAAATGTTGCTGCTCACTTCTCTTTTACTAATGTAAGAACTGCAATGCAGCACTTTGACCTGTTGTGGAGCATTCTTACTTATAGTGCTCAAGCATAAATCTGAATACTTTCCTCACCACTGCTCTGCTCCAACATGGAGCTATGAAAATCTAGTAATCTAGTGTGTGTGTGTGTGTGTGTGTGTGTGTGTGTGTGTGTGTATTTCTGTTCAATAGCTGACAGGAGTGGCTAGATTTAATAACGGCACTGTGGCTGAAGACAGAATAGACCTGAGATTTGATGTGGAGGATGAGAATGATAATCCACCTGTTTTTGTCCCTGTACCTCCAGCTACAGTTAAAGAGGCCAGTCCAGCAGGTAACACATATTTTCTGCCACCAACACTCAAAATATAAGATTTAAAAGCTCTCTTCTGTATGTACCTTACTATTATCACTACAGATGAGACATAAGCCGATAACAACAACCCATAAAACAGCAAATCACTCTCACATGTATAGCGTCACTTGGCAGAGTTGCCCTGTTGCAATGGCATACAGAGAGAAGTCTTAAAAGGAATACTTCATCCACAAATTGAAAATTTGTACTGAAATAACACAAAATGACCTTTAATTCGTGCAGAAGACTTTTTTTTCTAACCCCGGAGAAGTGAACAATTTTCATGAATTGAAGTAATCAGGGTCTGTATTTAACAACAGCTAAACTATATCAAAACATCCATCTACAAAATCTCATACAACTTGTGCAGTATAATCCAAATGTCATTTATCCAGTCGTATACTCAGCACTTTACAAAAAATGCATTTTTGCTAAGAGCAGCATGCCCTGAGGCATGTGCATGCATTTGAAGCTCAAATGTATGCACATGCCCAGGCACGTTACTCATCCATTGTGAGACTGGATGTACTGAAGTGCCTTAAATTGTAATGTTTTCACATGTTACTGCCACTTGCAAGCGTGGGTACTTGACTGTACTTGACACAAACATAAACACACATACTAGTTTTGCTCCATTGAGGGGTCTACACATTTTTTGCCCAATTGTGGGGTCTACATACACACAAAGACACACATATACACACACATTTCAGGGTAGATGCATCGGTTTAGGTACCACTTCTGGGTTGACTCTGACAGTCCTAATTCAGTGATAGTCCTGATGCTGAAAGAGCAGAAGATTACAATGTTATCTAAAACATATTAAATGTAGTCTTCATTGTTTTTGTTCAGGGACTCTGGTTGGTAGGATTACAGCTACGGATGCAGACAAGGCCAACTGTTCCCATTCAAAGATTGCCTACAGCCTTGTGAAGCAGGAGCCCTCTGATGGCCGAAACGTCTTCTACATAGACAGAGAAACTGGATCCATCTACGTCAAAGAAAACACCATAGACAGAGAGGTCAGACACATTACTGTGGTGGGAACACCATATGACTTACATCAACTATAATACATTTGTAGACGGTTGATAGGATTGTTGAGCTCTTCTCTTATTGAATTATAAACCTGTGTTGGTGCTTCTGTTGTCCACAGACGCAAAGCTCCTACACTTTAACAGTTGAAGGAACTGATCTGGACGGCGCTCCTGGAGGCAACACAGGCACTGGGACAATTCATGTCAAAGTAGTGGACATCAATGATAATGTACCCGAGCTGGAAAAAGACGAGGTATCAACTGTGACTTTGTTTCCATAGAAAAAGAATTTGAAATAAATAGTTGATTATGATTAAAAACATGTGTGGAAACAGCCCTCCCTGAAATTTCTCTGATCTGTCTACCAACTGTGTATAAATTACACTCCCAGTTAGCTATGTCAACTAAATACTACACCTACTCATCCTGCCACTGTATCATAAACTGGCCATCCGTCTGTACATAGAACTACAACAGAACCCCTGGCTATGCATTTGCTTCAAAAGCTCACTTTTTTAATATCCAGATTCTTCAATGTGTTACCAAAATGTAAAAAACAACAACAGGGTTATGTGAAATATTTCTAACTGTAGTTATGAGCAGTAACTTCCTGCAGTTTCCACTGGTTGCCTTGAAACTTTTTGCATGAATTAGTAATGTAGCGTGACATGGTAAACTGTGAGCTTTAGAGGCTCTGCAGACTCATGATAACAACCAGCTATAATGAGCCTGCCTTCATGTTCATCAGACAGGCAAACATGAGCATTACATCAATTTTCTCATCTCTCTTTGCCATAAAGCAGATAAGTGTATTTCTCCAACTTTCTTTAACTTTTCTTAAAGGAAGTTAATTTTGCTTTTCTCACATGTTTCCAGTGAATGAAGAATCCAAAAACTGTGAAAATTCTGATGAATTTAAGTCACGGGGTCTGCATCTGACAACAGAACATCTAAATGGAATCTGTTTACAAACTCTCACACAACTTATGCAGTAAAATCTAAGTCTCATGTATCCAGTCATATGATCAGTACTTTCCAAACACATGCATTTCTCTAAAACGTTTCCATTTAAAACTGACCTAAAAGAAAAATGTATCTATGCTCTCTTCAAGACAGGCTCCATTGGCAAAACAGTAATTTCACCTTGCTGAGCAGCTTATCTACTGCTTCCCCAATCAGTTAGTTTGTTTGTGTTATTGTGACAACATTGTTTTCTTCACAAATTAAGCAGTTACTATACAAATGGCCTTTTGCAGGAGGATGTATTCCTTTATAGCAATTTAAAGGGATGATAGTAAAATGAAAAATATTTCTTGTGTAGTATGCAGGCAGCATCGTGGAGAACACAGCCCAAGTGGAGGTCATGAGATTCAAAGTGCTGGATGATGATGAGGAGAAAACTGACAACTGGCTGGCTGTTTTTGATATTGTCACTGGAAATGAAGATGGAATATTCAGCATAGAGACTGATCCCAAAACCAACGAAGGTGTTCTGATGCTTGAAAAGGTAAATCTGTCTGTATCACAACACCCTAGCATGCTTAAAGCAGTATGTGTGGATCATTTCAGTAGAAATGAAATACTTTCTAATTAGACTTAGACTTACTTTATTCATCCCAGAGGGAAATTCGTTTCCACTAATTGTACATTTACAGAGATCGATCACAAATATCACAGGCACAGACGTATCACAGACATCACAAAACATCACATGTTCATTCACAGAGGTGGACAATTATTAGTTGTGGGACAAGCTAAATAATTAAGATGCCCCTAGCAGTCAATTTGACTTGGTTATATGCATACAGTAGTTTATAAATAACATAATGTATACTATCTCATCAAGAGCATTTGCTCCATAATTTACCCCAGAAATCAAAATGAGAAAAATCTTCTTTTTTTTTTTATTTTGCTCTAAACTAATGAGTATTTCCTTATATGAATCTCATAACAGGAAAACCAAAATGCTCCTCGATGTCTATCTTTATCAAAACTCATTTAAAACCAACTACAACAATCAAGTAACCTAAAAATATATTTATGTAGATGTAGATGAATACGTGGTTTCACTGACTGATATTAGTCTTGATTAGTAGACATATTTTCCACCAGACCATTTTGTCTACCTCCCAAAAAGTTGTTTTCTTTCCTTGGTTTTATAAGAGACATTTTTATTTTAACTACTAATACATTTATTTTGTTTGCACAGTTAACTTCAGTCTATGTTTGGCATATATTGCTGATTTTGTCTAGCCTGATGACTAAAAAAAGACAAGAAATCTTGTGTTCATAACTTTTCAGTCATTTGCGGGCAACAGTTTGTGGTTTATGAACAATGTATTCATGTTAAACAGTGACCTGTGAGAGTAAACTGATGTGGCTTTGTTCTGTTTTCCCTTCCAGCCTGTTGATTTTGAGGAAAATCCTGATATAAAGCTCGGAGTGGTAGTATCCAATGTTGCCCCAGCTATAGGAGATGGAGACGATGATGGCGATGGTCAAGGAGGAGGAGGAGGAAGAGGAGGAGGAGGAGGAGGAGGTGGCGGAGCAGGAGTAGGTGTAGGTGGAGGTGGCGGAGCAGGAGGAGGAGGTGGCGGAGCAGGAGGAGGTGGAGGTGGCGGAGCAGGAGGAGGAGGTGGTGGAGCAGGAGGAGGAGGAGGAGGGGGAGGAGGAGCAGGAGGAGGAGGAGGAGGTGTGGGAACTAATGCAGGGGTATCTATTGACATGGCAACTGGGGCAGGAGCAGGGACTGGGGCAGGAGCTGGTAGCACAGTTACAAACCAGTCCAATAAAAAGAGGCCAATCAAAGGCAAACTTTACCCAGTGAACATTGCAGTGGTGAATGAACCTGAGGGGGTCGCATTTAAACCCCGAGTAAAGCCTGTCTCTGTTTCGGAGAACCCAGAGGAAAATCCATTAATGGAAGTGATCACTGTCTTCGCAGCTACTGACAGTGACACCGGAAAGCCTGCAGAAAATGTTCGGTGAGATGAAGTCACATTACTTTCAGTTTATAAGCTCCATAAATACATATTCATAAAACATCTCAGATTGAAATTACATTAGAACCAGCAAAGTAAAATGTATGACTGCTTTAACTGTTGTAATCTAAAGAGTAAACATTGCTGCACATTGTTTCCACAGATATGCTAAAGGCTATGATCCTGACAACTGGCTATTGATTGACCCAGAAACAGCAGAGATTAGACTTCAAAAGTTCCCCGACAGAGAGTCCCCATTCTTGGTTAATGGAACTTACTACGCTAAAATACTGAGTCTGACTCAGGGTAAGCTCTGATTATATGTAGTAATTGTTGTATTAAAGACATAGTATGCAGGAATTTCATAATCCTGTGGCTGTATTTTCTTATTTTTCTTGTTACTCTGATATATTCCTGGACCTAGCACACAGGGGAGGTTAAGACTTCTTAAAATGGTAGTAACCAGGTGCCAGACTGTAAGCAGCACACATCTAAGAGAAAGCTATGAGAACCATAGATGCATTGCCAAAAAAACACAAATATAGTTGTTCTAAAACAAGAGTGAATCTGGGTTTGATTCTATCTTTCACTTTTGCTGGTAAGCCAGTTTACAAATAGTAATCAACATTCCTGCATACTATACCTTCAAATTTGGAGAGCTGCTTGGGAAAGCTTGGGATTAGCCAATTAGTCTTTTATTGCACTGAACTCTTGTACTGATGTGGCCAGAAGTGTAGACTTTAGGTATCTGCTTGAATAGTTTAAAGTTCCATTAAACAAAACTTTTGATATTAACACTGAACTACATGGCTCCTGGTCGTGTGAAAGTTTTACCACACTGAATCAACACCTACTATGCAGCCACGCAACTTTTACAGATGTTGCTTTGGTTTTCTTATAGACAATTCACTGTTTAGATTCCACTTGGTTTGTACTTCTTGTTGTAGACAGCTTGTGTCTCCTGATTCCCACAGATGTGCCCACTAAGATCGTCACTGGAACAATAGCATTGCAGGTGGGAGATGTAAATGACAACTGCCCCACACTGACCAACCACGTGGAGTACATCTGCTCAGACACTGAGGTGATTAATGTTACGGCAGTGGATGAAGATGGACATCCAAATTCAGCCCCTTTCACCTTCCTCCTTGTGGAAGAGGAGAGCCGGGAAGAGTGGAGGGTTGAACCTTTAAATGGTACGATACTTTATTTCTATTATTGCCAGTGTGTGTGAACATTGTTTTGTATCAAATGGTTTAAATTCTAATTACCCTCAGGGGGAAGTAGTGATTGTTTATAACAGTGGTTAGAGTGGCTGGCAGCTCCTACTGTTTTGATGAAAATTGCACATAGTGAAAGGGGAGACAGAGGGCATCCTTTCCAATGCCCCTGTGCAGTCAAATTTTGGGAACATTAACAGTAAAAAAAGGAAACATTCAAATCTAAAAACCTACTAGCTATTCCTGCACTGGAGCAGTGAGATTCCTCTTGTTCTTTCTTGCTATTAGGTACCAGTGCATCCCTCAGGGCTTTGAAACCTCTTTGGGCTGGTCACTACCAGGTCGCCTTCATCATCCAGGACCAGCAGGGCCTCGCCTGCCCAGACCCTCAGTACCTGGACCTATATGTGTGCTCCTGTGAGAAAGGAGAGACCTGCAAACCAGCAGGAATAGATGGTCAAACAGCAACTCACAAGGAATCCTCATCAACATTTGGAGGACTGGGAGTGGGGGCACTGATCCTGGGACTTCTGATGCTGCTTGGTGAGTATGAGTTATGTTAGCATGACTCAGGAATGATGCCTAAAATACACCTCTATGATCTAGAATTGTGGTTAAACCAAAATGAGCATTTAAAATATCTCAAGTGACACTGAAGATGTGCTACTGATGGGCAAGGTTATTTTGGATTTCTCTGCAGTAGTAAACATTATCATTTACATACTCTCCATTATATGGCTGATATCAAATATTTAATGAAAAAAGGCCATAGGAGTCTGAAATGATAAAAATAGATAAATCAATAAAAAATGAAAAGGTTACTTAAAGAGTTACTTCATTATAAGAAAACATATTTTTATTGTGGGGTACAGTTTTGGTTTTATTCTTTGTCAGGTTTTGAAAGTCAACAATTTCTGCTGCCAATCCATGCAGCGGAGGTGAATAGGAATTACTACATGGATATATAAAAATTTACTTGCTACTTTCTATTAAAAAAAAAACAAAAACTGATCCTCACAGTGAGGTTTGTGAGGTACATACCTCGGACATATTTCTGAAACAATAAGCTGCTGCTAGACATCTCAATGTCAGATATTACTTGGATATTCACGATGTACAGTATATGAACTTTAATATTTTTGCCTTCTGTTGTGGTTGTGTTTTTCAGCCGTAGGTTTATTACTAATGACCTGCTCATGTAGAGGAGTGTCGGGGAGCTTCTCTGAACTTCCTTTTGAAACCCGAGAACACTTGATGGTCTATCATACGGAGGGCCGAGGCGAGAACAAGGTAAAATATACAGTGTGAAACAGACTGTTCTGTATTCAGGAGTACATGAAGACTGAAGCATGCAGTGCTAAAGTGCTAAAAGTTTTGGTATTTTGGTGAAAAATGACTTGTGCCCCACAATCACTCCAACAGCAAGCATAATATATGATAACACTGTATGTATTGTGCACACATGTTGTATTAAGTAAAAACACACCCCTCAGTGCACTCAGGGAATTTAATGGTATAGCCCCACTTGGTCTGGTATGATGGCTAATGTTAGCTGATGTCATCAACTGCTATATTACTGTGTTTCTGGCATTATTGGTTCACTTCACTGGCTTTCTGATTCAACTCCTACACTGCATTTCAGCATGTCATAAATAAACAAGAAAAGTAACACAAGAAGTGACCTGAATTCTATGATTTTAATGTGTCTGTATCTTGATATTGTGATCCACATTGTGGTGTGTATTTCCTAAAGGCAGCACTAATCAGGTTACTCATGCAGAAATATGTGTACAAATATTTAATGTCCACGTATTAAATATATGTGCATGACATAAAAACATATATGTACTTTATTTACAAACTATATATGTAACCTATTAGATACTGGAACAATTTCATATACTGTATTGACATGTATGTCCAGCCCACACATATATTTATGTTTATGTATAAAACATTTATTGCCATATATATCACATGCATAATTATTCATACATATAACATGTATTTGTCTAAATGTGTAATATACATATTACACACACATATATACATTTGATTCATGACAAACATGGTGTGCACATATAAGTTAAATATATGTAATCTGTATGTTTATGTTCTACATATATATTCTTACTATTATTAAATATTACTATGTATTACATTACATTGCATTTAGCTGACAGTCTAATGCCGCAGACACTCACTGGTGTTTTGTCCCAACTAGAATCTTAAGTATTCTATCATATTCATATGTGCCATGTATTCCATTTCCGTATGGGTAGTGTACATGTGTGTATACAGACATTATGCCAATAAGCACTGAAGCCTACATACAGGACATATACAACCTAAGGTTGCTACGTATTTTCTTTGATGAAAAGTGTGTGTGGTCATATACATCTGATGTAAACATGTTGCAGCAGCACCAGATGAGGATTTGTACTCTCCTGGAGATCTCCAGCTTTCAAAAGTACAGTCAGTGTTTTTAAGATTATGGGCTCTAGTTTCGCACACCGGGCGAGGCGGGAGCGCAGCGCACCTGCGCTTCGCCAACTGGGTGTGGCCAGGCGGATTTTGCAAGTTTGGCACACCGTGCGCGCTGGCGCAGCTACTCCTCTTTCACACCTCCGTCCCTCCTACCTGCGCAAGTCGGAAAGAGGGAGGAGAGAAGGCGTGGAGTGGGTTTTACACACATCACACCAATCAAATGAGCCCCTCTCCTCGCCCTTAAATGCGCCACGCAAAGGTGTAATGAGAGTTTACTCAATTCGCCATGGCAGAAGAGAGCAGCAGCGTCAGACAGCCAAATTTCTCCCAGGAGGAAACTGATGTTTTGGTCCGGGAGGTCCAAGCTCGCAGTGTCCGAATATAAGGAACTGCGAGCAGACCTCCACGAGCTGATGATGCAAAGGTAGCCTGGGAGGAGGTCACCGCAGTTGTAAATCAATGTTGCGTTTTTCTGGTGCGTGCGTGCTTTCTCCTTCTCTCTCGCAGTCTCGCTCTGTTTCTTTTCTTTTGGCTTTTCTAAGATGACAGATCCTGAATATATACTCCCTATCTGATGTTGTGGCTGTTTGTGGTTGGCTGAGAGGGATGTGAACTCATTAGTTTGTAGCTGTGTTAATCAAATCAAGTTGGGTTTCCATTACGCGTGCCAAATGTGCCAAACGGTGCCAATCCCCTTTGATCTGACATCAGATGTGACGGGACAGTCGATATAGAGATACATTTATTTGCTGATTCCAGATAGTTGCATTGAATAGTGTTTTTTTGGGTATTTATTGCATTATTAATGTGCCTGATATTCTGGAAACCTGCCTGTGAGGTTTTGGTGACGTGTGCGCACTGTCCGCTGGTCAGCCAAACTTCAGCTTACACCGGCTGCACTCCTTCTGCGCTGACAGTAGACCTGGTTTCAGCTGGCGAGCTTGTAGCACACCTTTGGCGAAGCCTTTTGGCACGAAACTGTCACTGCGCCAAGCTGGATCTGTTGACACCTCCCCCTGCTGCGCCGCCACACCCATCTCAGCGCACCTCAGTCTGCCAGACTACCAAACTGAGTTGCGCTGCTTGAAACTAGCTCTGCGCGGGGTTTGCCACCCTGCACCCTGCACCACCCTGCACTGCGCTGCACCACGCTGGGAAACTAGAGCCCAATGAGTTATTTGGGCAGTCCGGCTTGATGATCTAGTTTAGCACACAAACCTATATGTCTCTATTCAGTCCCTGTCCTTATGTCTTTCAGGAGATCCCTCTGCTTAGCTCTCCAGTCCAGATGACATCTGCTGCTGTATCTAATGTACGGGCCAGCAGAGTGGCTTCCAACACCAAAGCAAACACAGCAACTTCCTTTGGGACTCTTGAGATGGGCATTGCCAACAAAATGTACAAGTCTGGGTACGGTGCTGATAGATGGATGTGGGAGAGCAGCTTTGGAGAGTCCAGAGGGAGCCAGAGAGAGACATACTCAATGAAGAAACAACTGTTACAGTATGACAGCATGGATGACATTGCCCTCTCTAATGTGTTTCTGCATCAGTACTACTCTCAGGTGAGGGACCGTTGGCCTGATACTGCTTTATTACAACTCTTACCCTCAATAGTTCTGTCATTGTCAGTAATATGGAAGAAACCAAAGTCATTGCTGAGATTGGGAGCATGGTGACGTCACTGTACATCAGTATCAGACAGGTTGTCACTAACAACAGTTTATTGAGACTGTCAAATTCACTTTATTTGGAAACTGGAAGGTAGCGCACCTGAGATGTTGCTAATCACCCCTCATTGTACAGGAAAACCAGTGTGTGCATGGGTCAGAATTTAAGCAGGAAGTGGATATGTAAAATTTGATTAAGTGAGAAATTTTAGGTAGTAATTTATGCTTGAGGCGAATTTAAAAGCTACTTTTCCATTTTTCAGAATTTTGAAGAAAAGGAGGCAATATGAAAGTATACATTTTAAAACTATGTGTGTGATTTTGATTCATTATTTTTGATTTATTATTACGCTGTACATTTTAGTTTGTTTAGTTTTTTTTAGTTTCTACCACATAATAGATTTAAAATAGCAGCATATCTAGCATCTTTCATGTGACTTTTTTCTCAGGAACAGTGTGGTGTTGGATGTTGTGAGCCAGCTACTTTTTGGACAGTGCCATTAATACTTCTGTATTTCAGCTCTTTTGTCCTGCTCATATATTATTTGTTTAATATCAGGGTCTATATTTAGTTACATGTAGATGGCATATTTCTAATTCCTGTCTGGTCTGCCTGGCAGCATTACTGCTGTTAATGTTCTGAGCTGATTTTGGAGGAAAGCTGGTTCATTTTTATTATTATTATTTTTTATTTTTTATCTATTTTGGCGGATACTATTTGCACCCAGGTATCCATAGCCAGCAATACTATTTGCACCCAGGGTGGAATAGCCAATATGGCTATTTACATCTGGATGTATACTGCTAGTCATCCTAGTCATATTGAAATATGACATCCACACAAATGAGTCTTTTCAGCTATTCTGTGAAAGTTTATGTACACAGTGTGCATTCAGCAGTTTTATAAATCCTACAAACTGAAAATAATAAGTCAGCCAAGTATAAAAGTAATAAACCAACACTGACTCACAAGACTCAAACCCTAGTCTCCAAAGTGAAAGTCCTATGCTTGTCCCACTCACCCACCATGACATACAGCCCTTGTGGACTGTGTAGTTCTTTATACAACGTCACCTGACTATCTGGGAGTGCTTTTTTGAGTTTTTTATTCATACATTTACAACTTTAATCATGGAGAATATCTAACAATGGCCAGTACTAGCCCTAGCCCTGACCTATTCCTCCAATCTTAACTGCTCCTGACCTTGGCATGCCAATATGAGGAGTACCAGCCAATCACAGCTCACAGTGGGATCCATAATCAGCAAGCAACATAGGGATGGATGTAAAAAGTCAAACAGCTGCAATGTAATTATTCTCCCCTGGGGGCAAATAGACACTCTGTTCAATTTTGTTTGGTTTGGTTTTCAAATAACTGTTTTATACCAGGTAATCAGAGACACATGCTATTCCAAACTCTGTTAATACTGTTATCAAAATGTTGCCTTGAGCACATTAGCACTGGTAATACATGTTTCATTATTCAGATTGTTCAAGCTGTGCCAGAGGTAATCATTACTGACTTTTTATTCGAGGAATTGGGGGAGACAAGATTAACATGTCTTTCAATTTCTTGGTGTTAATGTTATGCAGAAAGCGAGCTGTGCAGCAGAGAAGCAAGCAGCAAGAGATTGTGTGCTTGAGTATGACTATGAGGGCCAGGGCTCTCCTGCTGGCTCAGTGGGCTGCTGCAGCATCCTGGAGTCTGACGATGACCTGCACTTTCTCGATGACCTCGAGCTAAAGTTCAAGAAGCTGGCTGACATCTGTTCTCCTCCTCGACCTCCGACACCTCTAAGTTTTGTCGCTCCAGAGGTGGATAAAGTTGACCACATTGCTGTGCCCTTATTGGAGAGTAAACCACCCAGCATCCAAGGCAAGATCCAAGAGCAAACCCAAAATGTCAGCAGCATCAGCAAGTCATCCACTGGGGTCATGGGCTTAAGCAGAAAATCCTCCAGCAGCATGCATGGGATAAATACCACCAGTGTCACAGGCTTTAATAGATCAGCTTCCGGGAGCATGCATGGGCAGTTTTCACACTGTACCAGCAGCATGCCTCATTTACCCCATATTGGTCCTGTTACCACAGCCATGATGCCCTCTGTGGCTCAGATGCTTGTACTACAGCAGCAGCCAGTCTACTACACCACCACCCCTATGATGCAGCCAATGCATTACATAGTCCAACCACAACTTCAGAACACAGTGCTTCTGGCTGATGTGCCTGTCAGCAACCTGCAGGGCATGATTCTGCACAGGGGAAACACTGCTGGGACTTTCAGTATTGGTAGAGGAAGAGGCAACAAAGTGATGGAGGACAAACAGGGAGTAAAGACATGGACATTTTCTCATGGCCCAGGAATGGTGATGGGTGTCAGGAAGAGTGGTCGAAAGATCAAGTCAGAGAGTGGAGCTGAGACATGTCAGTGTAGTACAGGGACGCGGATAAGTCGACCCATCAGTTTGGGAGCAGTAGAGTTTGAAGAGGAACAGCTAGTGTTCACACAGGAAGGAGACGAGAGAAGAATGTCGACAGCATCAGCAGAGGCAGTTTTCATGTATGAGAATTAACCCCAGCACCACCAGACAAAATACCCTCACATGTAAAAATCAAAATTTTCATTTATCTAACTTTTGTACTGACACAGGAACAGAAATATATTGTCTTTTTATAGAATCTCAGTCAGCCATGTAGTCGTGATAGTTTTCAGCCATGTTTGCACTGTGGCTGTAGGGATGCCACAGTTGGGCCACTTTGATCTAGACTCATTTGTCTCATTTGATGGAGTGTTGTGAAATTTTAAACAGACACTGATGGCACACAGAGGATACATCATCTTGACTTTGGTGATTCTTTGATGGGATGGGAAGGTATATCCATATCTATGAGAGGGACTGCCAAAAAAATGGGGTTCATGTTCCCCTTAGAATGAACTGTGATATCATGTGGCACCATCATCAGGTCGTCATTTGAACTGGACCAGTACTTTGGTTTATTGCCACACTACTAACAGCCTCAGCGGTACTTTGTACTTAGTGCTAATAAGCAAATGCGATCATACCAACATGCCAAACTAAGATGATAAACGTGGTAAAAATTACAAATGAAAAAAATGAAATAATTGAATAAATAAATCCTGTGCCCTGACCCGGCACAGTGGTGTGGTGGTTAGCACTGTCACCTCACAGCAAGAGGGTTTGAACCACAGCAAGAGGGTTCCTGGTTCGATCCTAGGAGGGAGCCCTCCTGTGCGGAGTTTGCATTTTCTCCCCGTGTCAGCGTGGGTTTTCTCCGGGTACTCCAGCTTCCTCCCACAGTCCAAAGACATGCAGACTGGGGATAGGTTAACTGGTGACTCTAAATTGTCCGAAGGTGTGAATGTGTGCGTGAATGGTTGTTTGTCTCTATGTGTCAGCCCTGCGATAGTCTGGCGACCTGTCCAAGGTGTAGCCTGCCTCTCACCAAAGGTCAGCTGGGATAGGCTCCACCCTCCATAAGCAATCACTGCAAATTTGTATGTAGTAGTGCCATTTAACTTATTTGAATTGCAGATTAACAGCCCGGAAAAATTCATATAGATCCATCCATTCATTTTCATCCGCTTATCCGGGGCTGGGTCGCAGGGGCAGCAGGCCAAGCAAAGCACCCCAGACATCCCTCTCCCCGGCAACACTTTCCAGCTCCTCCTGGGGGACCCCAAGGCGTTCAGGACAGAAATTCATATAGAATATTTTTTTTGCAAAGTTATTTTTCATTATATTACATTCAATGTATAATCAATCAGATTTTTAGATCCTATACAGGCAAATAACCTCTGTGTAAATGTGTTTTCTTTGTGGTTTATTTCTTTCTTTTGTAATTGTATGTATATGTTCATATGTTATGTACATGTTATGTACATGTTATGTACATATGTTACGTCCAAGAATAGACCAGACGCACACTACTATAATAATGTATCATTAGGTTATTAAAGCGTCCAACAACAAAGATCTTGTTATGTACTTCAGACAACAGGATTTTAATCTGAAATCTGACTTAACTACTGAACAAGGAGCATGACCTTAACAAACTCTTTTAATGCTTCATTAATTACTGTAGTTGTTTGTTATTGATATCAAAAGTCATTTTTAAATTGAAGTTTTAAAAGGTTTTGTTCAGTTACAAGTCAGTTCAGTAGCTCACCCTCTCAACCTGTTTTCACAGATTGGAGATGTACTTGTTTGTGGTGGAGGGGATTGAGCACGAAAGGGTTATCCTCAGATTTCCAACCATCTGGTGCCAGTTTATTTTTCTTAAAAAGTCGATGGCAGTAGAGCGCCGCTGTTGTTTATCATGGATGTGGTGCAGCAGAGTAATAAACTCAAACTCAGACAGACTAGATGACAGCAGGATAAAGCTTTTCATCTTGTCAACTGTCTTGTGATACTGTTTCTGACATGCTGAAATAGTGACACTGATTAACATAAGTTAATGCATTCGATGATATGGAGGACACACTGGAGACATTTTGCTCTTTAAAGGCTCATTGTTAACAGTCACGTTAGCACTCACAGGGTCTGGTGGAGGAAAAAAAAAAAGATAATAACACATCATAACACATACAGTATGTATTAGGTTGTTGTAGGTGGTAGGTTTGTGTATTTCAACATTAAAATACATGTTGCATAAAAAGGAGCATTTTATGAATAGCAATTTATGAAGCTGTGCTGTTATTTCTAAAACTCATTGAATATAGTTAAGTTGATTGTCATTTTTTAGGCTGTGATCTGTGGTGCCGTTGTGAAATATTCAGCTTCAGTCATTTCCGATAAGGGTTTTGTTGTAATTGCATCTCCTTTTGCTGATGAACTCTTTCTGTGTTTGGTTCAAACTTGTCTCTTTGCAGTGTTTCT